GCAGTGGGAGCAGTAAGGGGTAGATGCGTTAACCACATCCACTACCACTGATTCCTGCTCCGACAGTTTGATTGTGAGGGAGGGATGAAAGGAGAAACGTGCCGATTCTGCCAAAGATTCTAGATCAAACTGGATGTTTGCAATTGAGGGCTCGTCTTTGTCTGGCTGATAATCGTGCATTTTGAGAATTTTGCCTATGGAATTCTCAATTTGAAACCGAAGATGAAAAACAACCATAACGAGAACGTTCAGACAACGAATCAAAAAAAAATTGTATTTCATTGTTTCCTTGAGCTGTTCCATTTCGTTTGGAGGAAGGTAGGGACGAAAATCGACTCAGTAATTCTCATTCTCAAATTCGATTTTGTCGTAACCTACGCTTTTCATCCAATCGGCATGCTGTTTGGAACCTGTGATATAAGTTGCCAAGTTTCTGCCTTTGTGAATAAAGCAACCCTTTTTGTAATTCTCCGGCAATAGTCCTGCTTTAACCCAGGCGGACTCATACACTCTCACTATTTGTTTTTTAACCGGGACTGACTGCACGCCTGATTCGTTTTCAAACACCAACAGTACAACACGTTTCTTTATCCATTGATCTTGAATCATCTTGATCTGTGGATCAACTCTAAGTTTCGAATGGTAAGAAGCAGGTCTCCAGCATGTCCCGGCCTCGCTCTCTAAATGCTGGGTCCGGGGGGGGGGCAAATGAATCTTCCGTTGCAACTCCATCTTCCATGGTGGGAGCGTGCTTAGGCAGATGAAGAGGCGGGGGGGGGATTGAGTGTCCGATCTGCTTCTCTAGAGACTGTAGTACTATTGAAAACCAGCGTTTGAGCAAGGATAAAAAATTAAGAAAATCAGCTGTCCAAATGGTGAGTCTTGTTCCTTTGGCCCGAGTCTGGTTTGCCAAGTAGGATTACTTGGTTGATCTTCGAGGTAGCGTTCGCTATGACGAGATACCATTCAGCGGGTAGGACGTAACGGGTGACTGAGGTAACTAGACTTCGAAGTTCGATCGGAGAGATCACGCTTGATCTCTATTGGCCGAGCGAAGGAAAGGCGGCATCCCCCCACAAAGGGAGGTAGGCGAAGCGAGCGAGGCAATCTACTTCTGGCCGGCGATTAAACGCCAAGTCGGTTTATCTAAGGTCAGTTGAGGCTTCGTGTAGGTGCGTGTCTAGAGAGAAGCCGAGAGGGGGAAAGTTAACTGAAAGATCGGCTCTCAATGGTCCACAGCACCATACAAAATAGTCGTTGGAACAGGGGAAGAGGGTAGCGAGGTTATACCATCCAATTGGCGAGGCTAGTTTCTTTGGCCCGATGCTGGCTCGCCAGGTAAAAAAACTTGGTCGATCTTCGAGGTAAAGCAGCTTCGGCGAGAAATCCTTGAGAGGGCAGGGCGTGACGAGAGGCCTGGGGTGTCTAGGCACTGAAATCCAATCGGAGAGTTCGCGCTTGGTTGCTATACGCCGAGCATTCCTTCTACCGCTTGCGCTGGTGGAGGGATGAACAACGTCACACCATTAGGAAAAGTAGGCGATGAGAGCCATGCGAGATCCTTCTGCCCGGCGAGTACTCGCCAGGTAAGGTTGTCTAGGATCAGTTGAGAATGATAATCATTATGCCAAAATTCTCATAGTAGAGTGACTAGGCGAGCTCAGGTATGGGGTTAGGACGCTCGTCCACTCATTATTTGCGAGTCGGAACACCATCTGCGCGATGGTGGGAGCGTTGCCCAACGATGAAACGTGTGTACAGACGCTGGTCGGCAGCGGTGCTGGTGTGGGCGTCAGCAGGATTGCGTAGCGCTAACTAAGGTTAACGCCGCCGGAATTTTGAATTAGCTTTATCAACATGTTATTCGTTAAAATAGGACATTATACTGTCCTCTTTCTAACGAATTCATTTTTGGCTGCATTCCAAGTAACGTAGGCACGCCCATCCACGGCTTAAGCACATGCAGAAGTGTGCTGAGATCCGTACTTGTGAAACTTTATAAATGATATCCCAAATGAGGAAGCGTGTTCAAACCCGTACATGTTAGGCACGCCGCATGGGAACCTTGTGTGGAAGTGTGCCGGGATCCTTACTTGCTGAACTTCAAAAACATGGCACTGCTTGAAATCCTATGCGGAAGTGTGCTGGGATCCGTACTTGTTAAACTTCGTAAACGAATAACGACAGGCACGCCCATCAGGGAACCCTGTGCGAAAGTGTGCTGGGAGCCTTACTTGTTGAACTTCATAAATGTGCCGTGAATCTTGTGTCGAAGTGTGTCGGGATCCGCACTTGTTAAACTTCATAAACGAATAACGACAGGCACGCGCATCAGGGAACCCTGTACGTAAGTGTGCTGGGATCCGTACTTGTTAAACTTCAATTCCATAATTGTGACGAGCAATGTGTCATGATTGCATCCTCGTTGGATAATTATGTTAGAAGACGTAGAGTAGCGACAGGCACGCCCATCCGGGATGCCTGTGCGATAGTGTGTCGGGAGCCACACTTGTCAAACTTCAAGTTTGTGACTGTGATGAGCAAGGTGTCATGATTGAATCCTTGTTAGATAATACTATTTATTTCTTTTTTGCGTGAGTTGTATATGTATGGCGATCGTTTCGTCCGAGGCGGTTGTCTGGATGTTGTTGAGATTCAGACTTCTTTAGAAGTACAAACATTAACTGTTATTTTTGACATACAATTTATTTTTCCCGGTCAAGAACGCAAAATTGTCGGTCACATGTAATTCAGGCGGTCACAAGTACATAATTGTCTATGCACACAAGAGGCGTGGTGTCACTGGTCTTTCACTCTTTGCATAACGAACCTCACACCCACACACTCGCCGAGATTTATCTTGCATCCACACTCCAATTCGTCATGTCGCACCACACATACGAATATCATTTCGAGGTGAATTATATGCACAACTTTGGATGACGTGGACACAATTTGCAACGAGGACTGCAATGCGATGAATGTAATGACACGACAGACAAGCCGGACCTGACAGAGACTCCGAAGGCAATACGCGACACCAAACTGGCAGTCAACATACCAAAGACAACTCAAACTCGCAACACTGAAAGAAAGTAATGTCGTTGTGAAAGCGACAGTTAAAATATGAAATATTCTGAAACAGAAGTTTGCAAATCAATCGAATCCATCAAAGACAACGACATTCCAAGATATACAAAATATTTTTACAAAAGAACCTGAAAGGCGGTCGATCGCCACGTTGCAACAGTGTCGTACACATCAACATAAACACCCCGCAACTAACTCCATCCACTTGTCTTGAAACTCCCTCTATAACAACATTTGTTGCCACCGACTTCCAGCGCCTGCACGACCGCCTATGTGATGTTTGACATTCCAAATAGTGTATGATCAACTCGAAAACACTAAGGTAAAAACTAGAATTGGCTACAGCGCAAGGAAAAAAATCGAAAATCTCAAGAACATTATCTCTCAAGCTCACAGAAAGGAGGATCCAGTGATCATTATCTTTGAGGAATGGAACAAAGATAATATCATATTCAATCAGATCCACGTTTTTAGCCCATCTTTCCACCCCGCCGTRCCCTTGAAGTTGCAGTTTACTAAAGAAGAAAGAATTAAAGATGAAGACTCGAAGGCCTTGCAGGATGTCACTTGTCCCATATGCGGTCGTTCCTAATAGCGCCATGTAGAAGTTGACCACCTCATCATTCACCTTGCCGTCGGTAAGTGAGAGGGTGAGAATATCCTTCGCTGCAATTCACAACTGACCATCGTGGAGGGTCGAGTGTACAGTGTCAGGTGGCACCAAGCCTCATTCAATGTCGTTCAAAACCCGCAAGCTTCCAATCGCAGTCACTGCTGTTCCAGGTGCCGTGGCCCGCACTGCACAACATCGAGCAAAGGACAGGGGGGGAAGTGAGTAACGGAACACTAAGGATTCTCCTTCATCGCACGACGAGTAGCTAAGTATTTCTCATACATGGCCTGACCCCTAGTCACAGATCGTGGATATGTCCCTTTCTCTGGGGGCAGGAGGGAAAGACACAACTCAATGGCAATGGCATGCTCCTTCTTCCCGATTTCGACATCAACCCCTGACGCCTTTAACATGTCCTTGTGTTTTGTCGTCAACCCCGGGACTGTATGCAATATGTGTTCCGGATATTTAGAGGGCCTCCGTGTTCGAGACGACCCTACCCCTGTACAACAGAAGAAAGACAAAATGGAAAGTGAATACACATTTCCGAGGAAGAACCCGACGAAACGACAATTAAAGGACCACGAAATCTAAAAGATGCAGGACCCATGCAACTACAGAACCCCGTCATGCCATGAGAGTGCGAGAGAGAGAACTTCCGCACGAGCCACGTTGCAAAACAAAACAAGCGGTGCACTCGAGCTCGACACCCCCGCCCTTCAGAAGGGAAAAGCACATCAAGTCACAAAAGCGGAAGGCAAACATCTCTGAAGTCCAGATCCCGACGGACTTTTCCAACCCAGGGAAATGACCCAACCCCTGTGCAACCGAAGGAAGAGAAAACGAAAAATGAACTCACGTAATCCAAGACGAATCCGACGAAAACGACAACTCAAGAACCACGAAATGTAGAAGATGTAGGACCTATCTATTTACAGAGCCCCGTTTAGCCATGAGAGAGATAATGAATACTTTCGCGCAGGCCCCGCTGGAAAACAAAAGGAGCAGTGCGTTTGACCTCGACACCCTCGCCCTTCAGAAGGGAAAACCTCAACAAGCCACAAACCCGGAGGCCAAACATTTGTGAAGTCAGGATCCCAGCGGACTTTTCCCAATCGAGGCACCAAAAGAGTAACCGCGTTACGCAGCGGCCTTAGCAGTGCGGATCCCGGCGGACGAAAACCACCACTCATTCCGAAAAAGAAACACCATCCTTCCATTATGTGAGGGAACGCTTCAACAAAAACACACATGTTTTTGTCTCGTACGCCCTGCACACGACCAGTGACCCGGCCAACTCATAGGATGGTCGTTCACATGTACTTGGAAGTTCGAAGGAGTGGTGGCTGTAGCATGCCGACATCAGGAACTCCCCGCATCGACAGACACTGCGGTCATTGGCGCGCAGACAGAGTGGCCTTTGTCACTGCTTACCAGCTGGTTTGCCTCTCCGCTCCTTAATCGGCGAAGTTGGCGCGGGCAAGGCCAGCACGTCGAGAGCTCGAGTGCCGACGACAATTTTTTTCGGGGATGTGACATCTTGTCGTCCCCCGATCCCGCCTTCTCCTCCGTTGGCGATGGTCGGCGGCAGCATCGGAGAGTTCGTCGGTGAGAAATCGACGACGGATCCCCCGGAAGGTTAGACGTCGAGAGGGTCGTCGACACCAGGCGTCGAGGACGGCTGCGCGGACATGTGGTGGTCGCCCAGGATGCCGTCGATAACTTCTTCGATGTCAATACRCACACTCGGYTTAGTCAGGCTSAYTGYTACACGAGCTTCGTTGAACCGGTGTTGGAGATCGACGGCAGACGTCATTGCTTGGACCTCATAGTCATCACGTTCTGCCGAAAGGCTTGTGACCACATGTGTCTCCATACCCAGTGCCCTGTCATCGTCGTCGTCGTTTTTCTCGCGGTGTTCTCCGTACAACTGCCCGAATCCGTCAGACGACTCCCCAGATCTGTCATCGTCGTCGCCGAAAGTCCGTTCGTCGTCTCCTGTATCAAGTTCACCTTTTTCCCCCTCTTGCCCTCCTAGCAACCCAGCCAACTCCGTTTCTTCCCCTTCCTCTCCTTCATCCTCATCTTCCTCCCCTTCCTCCCCTCCTTCCTCCAATTCCTCCCCTGTGTCTCCTTCCTCCACTTCCTTCTCTTTGTCCATCACCCTGCCTTCTTCCCCTGCATGCAATGCAGCCACCCGAACCCGTGTCGATTTCCGACGAATGCCCTTCCCGCCTGCCGCACGCAGCCCCTCCCGCATGCACCAATATCCCTGGTTGGCCCCCCTTGCCTGAAGATGTTCGGATCCCGGCGAACTTCGCCATCTCCTTGTCGCTGGGCCCTCCACACGCCTTGCCTGAAGAAGTTCGGATCCCGGCGAACTTCGCCGTCTCCCAGTTGCCAGGCCCTCCACACGCCTTGCCTAGAGAAGTTCGGATCCCGGCGAACTTCGCCGTCTTCCTGTCACCGGGCCCTCCACACGCACCCTCTCACTCCGACCGAAGCGGTTGGCGATCCCCCGCAGGCAGCGAAGTCCCGTCCGTCACCGCACCGCTGTCTATTTTGGGATGACGACTCGCCACCCCCGGTCCTGACCAGCTCTGTGCGTCCGTCCTCTCTGTCCGCTCTGCAAGCATTGAAGTTCGGATCCCGGCGGACTTGAACGTTTCGACCGAGCCGGCACGGAGAGCAACCAAGGCCGCCATCACCGAGCAGGCGGATGAACTGGGCACGTCCGCCGACTGTGCCGAGCCTTTTGGACCGGGACCGGTAGACTGCACACGCCCGAGGGCCTCCCCCGCCACCCCGCCGCTGCCTTCCGCTGTTGTGGTGTCACCCTGAGACCCGCCCTCAGCCTCGTCGCCCTCGTGTTGTTGCCCCGGGACTCGTTTACCGCCCCCAGCCTCGTCGCCTCGTTCTCCCCACCGTCCGGTCCCCGGGACCCTGTACTTACATGCGTCCCACTGGGAGGGGGGATTTTCCAGTCCACCCTTCCTTTGGAGGGGCTCGTGTCGAGGTCATAGTAGTCCTCCGTCAGCTCCAACCAGCACTTGTCCTGAAGTTCGACGAACAATCGCCCGACTGTGAAAATGACGGACACGTCTTCGGGTGCGAAAGAGTCATTCTTGGCCCTCACTTTCTGGTGGACCGCAATTCTAGCGACGTCGAGTAAGTCAAACTTCGACCCGCGAGGGAGTGGCATCCATCCTCCGTCTGGGACAGCGACCGCCATGATCCACTCACCCTTTTGGATCGCCGGCTGGACGACTCCTGGATGCCAAATCATGTCATGGCCCCAGTCTGCCTCCGTGGAATGACTTTGAGGCTCAGGCAGGAAGTGAATGTTGGCATTTGTCCAAGACAGATGATCGGGTGGGATGTCAGACCCGGGATGCGGTGAGCGATGGCCGGAGGCCAGAGCTTGCATTCTCTGCAGCAACTTCATCGGGGTAGTGCCAGGCTCTGGTTTCGCCATCGTTGACACATGGGATGCTAGGCTTGTCGACGGACCTGCCAAGGACGACCCTGTAGCGTGTTGCGCGGAGTGTTGGTCGTACTGCAGGTCGAGGCTTTCAGTGTCGCTGCCCTCCTCGTCCGCGGTCGCGTCGAACTCGATGCCGGTGGTCTCCTCRTCTTCCGTGGAGATCAAGGAGGAGTAAATGCCGAACGTCAGCTCCTCCTCTGACTCCACGAAGTAAAGGGACTGCAACCTCTCGAGGAAGGTCTTCGCGTTCATGCGGGAGGCGCCGTAGTAGTTGTCGAGCAACGTGAACATGTGGTCCTTGCAGCGCACGTACTCGGCGTCAGTGTCTCTCTTCGGCCGCGTTTGCAGGAACAAGAAGTCGTATAGCTTGTTCCGCTTCCTCGCACTCAACTTGAACCACATGTCCGTCTTGTTGTTCCACGCGCGAGCCCGAGTCTCGGTGACGACCATGAACTCGCAATTGTGGGCACCCGAATTGACCTCGCTTTTGACGAGATCAGTTGTAAATTGCAAGAGCTCGGAGTTCCCTTCCATCGCGATGACGTGCCGTCCTGCCTTCAGTACTTCCCAGACTGACCGCGCATGTGTCTTCGAGAAGCTGATCGAATTGGGCGGGGTTGCATTCAATGTCCCTGTACACAATGCCCCGACGTGCAGGCGAGGTATGCGTTCCATGTCCCCGTACACAATGCCTCGACAGTTTCCCCTCGTAGACGACGGACGTGTTGGCCCGCAAATCAACCCCTTTGAAGAGTATGTACATCCGGTCGTCTTCCGTATACAAATTGTTCCCGACGGGGAAACTTTTCTTCTGTTGACTCCTCCTCACCCACTTCCCTTCCAGCAACTTGACGAAAGAAAGATGGTTCACGCTGGCTAGAAAGGAGAGGTTCTGCTGTAGCGAGATAAAAACAACGAGCGTCCAATGCGACGGATACCACGTCTGCAGTTGGGAATCTAGAGTGTCGAATGCTTGCAGTTTCCAAAGCTTCAAGTCGACCGGTTCGCACAGATCGAGGACGAACAAAGATGCTTTGTATTTATTCTATTTTTTCTTACAATACTATTGAATCGTATTATGGTATATTTACATTGATTCTATTCTAAATGATATTTGCTTTATGTCTGCCTCCAAGGGGTCATTGTCGAATGGCGCGATGGATGTCACGTCGCCCGTGTCATTCCATTTTATGTGCACAATGCCTTCGACGAGCGCGATCTCTCGACTCTTCAGTCTACTGCCAGTCAACACGGACAGGACCTTATTCCTCCAGTCGACGGACAGCTTCTTGTGATCGGCCAGCTTCTCCATCGCCGCGATCGATCTGTCGTCGTCGCAGCCCATGTAGGGCGGGCAGTCCTTGAACAGCGAGGAGTTAGTGACGTATTTCGTGCTCCCGTCCCACAACTCAGCATCCAAACCACGACTCTCAAACTGTTTGAAAATTGCGCACCTTGATTTCAGGAACGGGAACCTCTTGCTTCAATCCGCGTCCGGCCTTTTGTCGTGCTTGAACTGGTAGTAGTTCCACAGACGCACCAGCACCCGGTCGCACTTCACCAAATTCACCACCTCCTGGACACTCAGCTTTCCGAGCTTTGCCAACGCTGGGGAGCCGGCCTGTACCCAAACCACCTCGCAAGCGAGCACCTTCTTCAGCATGCGGTACTTCTCGTTCTCTGTGAGCGACTCCATCGTTTTCCAACAATGCGCGTCCGGCTTTGGCACTTGCATGAACCACTCGCCCTCCTCTTTCTCCTTTTTGCCTTTTTTTGTCGGCGGGTCTACAGGGACGTTGTGCACGACCTCCTTCCTGCCCAGCTTGTCATTATGGATGTATGCAACCCCACGCTTCACGTTTTTGACTTTCTTCTTCTGCATGATCCACTTTGCGCCGTCGTGTCCGAGCAATTTGCCTGTCTCCTATTTCTCGAAAAACTCGACGGCCGGTTTCCAGACGTTCTCCCCTGCCATGGCTAGCGGGAAATAGGAATGCAAGGCAGCACCTTGTTTCCTGATGGCCTCCTCGCCCTGCTGATCTGCGAGAATCCACAAGTTGTTGTGCAGTGTCATGTTGAATGCGACATTGCAGAATTCACGCCACTTCCGGACCTGATTCTGTTTTCCGCTGGGGTTCCCCATAACAGCACGCGGGCAACCGGCGCGCTTCCACTGCCACCTAATGTCCCTCATTGACAGCTTCAGCTGTAGTGGGGGCGTCTTCAGGTCCTTGTTGTCCTGGGAACTGACAAGGAAGTACCCTTTGAAGTCGTCGTCCAAAAAGTAGACCATTCGTGCAGGCCACCGCTCAAAATTGTATTTCTTGGCCACCTCGCTGTCGAGCAGCGACCTAGCTGCAGCCGCGTTGTGCTGCCCACACACCGCGTCGTAGTAGTATTGTTTCGCCAACTCATCCCTCCAATTCTCCGGCCTCAGACGTTCTGCCTTGGTCCCCGGAGTAGGTTTATCAAGCCCTCGCGGCGCCAGCTTCAGGGTTGGTAAATCGTAAGACTGCGCTTTGTTTTCGAACGCCAACCGCATCGCTTCTTTGATCCCTTCCACGAGCACGGGATCCAGGGACCGCTGGTTGTACACGTCCTCCCAGTCCCCGAGGTTAACGACCTGCGCAGGGCTAATGTCGAACTCTCGCTTTGTGTGAACACCATCTTTGTACTCGAGGAAGTACCCGGCGTCGACGTCGATGGGAGTCCCTGTTGTCGGTGGAGAAGACGGTCTAGACTCAGGCTGCTTCTGTCTCGAAGACGGTCGTTTGGCAACCTGCGGGCCCTGCTCCCCCTCGGTCCCCTTGCGTTTCTCCCCCGCAGTCCTGGGGGCCTTCCTCTTTAACTTCTTCGTAGAACTGGCGAACTCGTCTCGACGATCCCCCATCCTCTTTTGCGGAGCTCCTTGCGAGCCCCGGCCTCCCGCGTCCACCTCCTCCACACCCTGTCCCTCGCTCGCCTCCAAGTCGACCTCCGAATAGGCCGCCACCTGTACTGCAGGCCCCGTACTCTTCCGCTGAACCAAGCATCAGTTTGAACCCCAGGAATAGACAACACAGACCGCCGCGTGTCACTCAATGACGGAGTAGTCCCCTCATCCTCGTTGTTGTCGAACCGACCTCGACTCTCGCCACGGTGCAGGTGAGTGGCAGGACCAGAACCCAGATCACCGCCCTCCGCCGTGCCCTGCTTGACTCGCAACCGCTGCACAACTTCAACGGCAGCGACAGCTCCAGCGATGGGTCGACGTCGCAGGGGACGTCGAGAGTGATGTTTCTGTCCTCCAACATGTCGAGAACTCCACGCGCCAAAACAAAACCGCCCCCGAGAACGAGTTCTCTGTAGAATGGGGTGTTCACAGCACCCGCTCCGAACCCCTCACACAATTCGAGGTCCAACAACGTCCCTTTCGAATTGGCAACGATGTTGCCCTTGGCGCCATAAATGTTTTGCATATAGAAATGTCGTCGGCCCCCCTTTGCGTCCTCCCACCGCAAGACGGCACCAAGCACTTTACGCCTTCTGCTGTCATCGATGAAGATGACAGGACCACATGGCTGCACAGTGGGGTTGGAAGCGTCTCCACAACACCAGTCGATGAACCATTTCGACCTCGAATGGTTCGACCACCCCTGTGTGGCAGTGGATGACCGCCTCGTGGAATCTTTTCGTGATTCCTTCCCAGGGGTCCCTGTTGGCTCCACCTCGCCCTTGGAAGAAGACATACTATCTGCGAACGACAACGCAAATCGAACAACACACCATGAAGTCAACATCTGTCAAAACACAGGAGAAACAGAACACTCACTGCCGCGCGTCAACGCAGGCTGTAGCGCAGTGAAAGCCGCACATGAAGACACTCGGGCACCCAAATCCGGAACGGTGAGAAGGGGTAGTCCGCCGGGATCCCAACTTCAAGTGGGCAAGAGACCGAGAGGCAGACAGAGAGAGAGAGAAGCAAGTGAAAACTCGTAGTACGCATGGGATCACGCGCTGTTTATGCGGCACACGGGGCACCCCGAAGAACAAAGATAGACAAACGCACAGTGGAAATCGCGAATTCCGCCGGAATCCGAACTAAAGGACGGTGCGTGAGATAGAGACGGCGGAATCAGATTTCGGGAATTTTTTGCAAGAATCAATTGGCGGTCATGTTTGAAGCTCGCGCTCGACGGGGTAGTGTTCCCCGCGTGGCAGTCGGAACCCCGGACAGTCCAACAGCCGAAGCTCGCCGGGATCCAAACTAGAACAGTGCGCGGGAGACATACAGAGAGGCAGCCATGCAGCCAGCGTCCCAGAACCGTGCTCGACCAAACGCACTCCAGAACCGTTGTCGGGCGGGTTGTGCGACCCACCCGGAACCACGAAGACTCAAGACAAAGCAACGCACCTCCCGAAACGTGAAGTGCGCCGGGATCCGAACTTCAGAACGATGCGACAGGCAGAAACGATGTCAGGGACACACGATCCGCAAGTCTAAGGTTGTTAAACTCAACCCCGACCCAGGAACGCCAACCGGAATGAAAGCCTGGTTGAAATGGAGAAGTCCGCCCTAATCCGAACTACTTCTGATTTTCAATCTCGCGTTATGCACAGCTTGGCACTGGATGAACCCAAGCTCGAAAGCGGCAGCCGTGTCAACATTTCATAGGTCCTTAGACTTTGGCTATTGCCGCACTCCATGAGGGATCCGGAAGACCACCGTCTATGGCAATAGACAGGCGACTCCTGAAGTTCGCCGGGATCCGAACTTCAGGAGGATGCGAGAAAGAGAGACAGAGAGAAACATTGGAGCAACTCTGAGTCCAAACGCAAGACGGTGTTCAACCAAGGCGCAAGAGGAAAAACCCCGGGGTTCCACAGCCGACCGCAGGTTTTGATGGCAGCAGTCATTGAGTCCAGGCGTAATTGGTAGCAGGACTGTTTCCGACTCCGCCCATCACTCGAAGCTCGGAGGCCGGTAGGACGCACAGGCCAAACCGCAAAGTCCGCCGGGATCCGAACTTCAAGAGGGCGCGACACGGAAAGAGATGGCGTGTGCTAGCAACTGCTGCCTCCCGCGCCTTTCTCCACTACTAAAACTCTGCCATGTTCGGCAGCACACAAGCCTCTCACTCGTCTCCCTTCTTTTCGCTTAAGCAGGATTTCAACCACACGTCCAGATCTTATGACAATCGCGGTTCCCCGGGGACGAGGTCGTGAACCGTAGCCATACAAAGCATTCATTGGTGATCCGTAAACGCGGACCAGCGGGTCGTCGACCGTTGCAGTCTCCGAAAAGACGGACATGTATTTCATCCTAGCAAACACTCCCGGTCGTGCTAAGGAGTTCCCTATACAGTCCCGTATGGCGGACACTTTCTCCTCGACCTCCCTATGCAACGAAAAGTTCTGGACCGGCTTTGCTATCACCAAATCCGGCCGTCCATCCACACGAACAGGCCCGCGCGTCGCCACGAGTCTGGACCCCTCAATTGCCATCTCGTTGCGTGACACAAGCACTACCGCATCGACGAGCTTCCTACTCTTGTTTGAAGTAGCGACACACAAAACCCTGGCGAAATCAGATCTGGACACAGTCAACCACACACAACAGTACGACACATCTTGTGGAGAACTATCGGGGCAACAGAGCGGGTACTGCTCCAGGAACGGGCAGTGTCGAGCGCAGGCCAGCAACTCGTGTTTCCGTGAGCCTCCCCAAGTTTGTGGCGACGACGTGACGTATTGGCACTCGAGGCGATTGAAATGTCGGTTAATGCAGCCTACTGTCTTGCGCATGTGGCTCAGGAACTTGTGACCGAGGACAGCGTCAGGCAAGGGGATGAGGGACCCAAACTCCAACATGTTGGCGAACTTGTACTGGCCTGGCGAAGGGCAGTCACTCTCCATCTTGGCTGAATTGCCGTCGCACCAATCGTCGATATGCCTGCCCATGCACGGGACGACGGTCATCCAGGGGTTCTCCTCGAATTCCTCTGCGGTCGATCCCTGGATCATAGTCACACTGTTGAAATGCCACACGGATCTCGCACAAGGAGGAAACGGTTCTGCCAAGCGAATGTGCGTCTTGGGACTCATGGTCTCTGGTGTCGAGAACATCGACTCCATGATCCGTGGTGTCAAGAAGGTCCCATCCATTGCGTGCCCTACACACCACACGCACATACCAAACGACACACATGGGGACACTGACACTCGTAAACATAGTTGGCGAGCAATCAAACGACATAGTCCGCACGGATCGTTGTTGCACTGGCCGTCAACGTTAAGAGGACGCACTCGGAGAACCATCACGGTTCCCAAGACGGGCACAACGCGGAGTTCGGATCCCGACGAGCTTATGTCATTGCGAAAAGTCGTCTGACGCCAGAAAGATCACAGGCAAAACTCGCGTCATGCAAAACCGCGAAGTTCGCCATGATCCGAACTAGACGATTGTGCGAGGAGTCATGTCTGCTCTGAACGCACGAGGCAGCAGTTCCACCACGACGTGATCATTCGCCGTTGTCACACTGTGCAGTTTCGCTTTTTGCGATCTCTGGTTGTCGAGGAAGTGCACATTCGAAAACCTGGTTCGGAATGCCGTGAAGTTTGGAATCGAGCAGACTTCGTGTGCTTGTCACATCCACGGGGCAGCAGGCGAGTCGGCAACACGCCCCGCCAATGGCGGGAAAGCAATGTTTGCCGCCATCCGAACTTCGCGAATCTGCGTGGGAGAGACGAAGTTGTCTCTCCCACTCGACGTCCCAAACATGCTTCAACTTCGGATCCCGGCGAACTTGGGATTTTCGCGTATCCGAAGTTTTGACAATCCACCGCGCGCCTGAAATCCCATGGTCGGAACCGTCACCGTGCAGAAAGCGAAGTGGGCCGGGATCCGAACTTGACGATTGCACGAGGAACCGTACGCGAGAAGTTCGGATCCCGACTGACTATGCGTTTTCACGAGTTCGTATTACGTCGGAGTCCGAACCTGTGGATTGTGCGAGGAACCGTGCACACACAGTTAGGATTTGCATGCCAGCTGACAAGCCGCAACATGTCGCGCGACATCGTGGATCCCGCTTTCTACAGACCGCCGTACGAGGACGAATTTGAGGAGATAATCCGCGAGGAGCTCGCGGAAGAAAGTTCGGAG